CAATCTTTAACCATATTAAAGGGTCATTTGGTATAGCAGTTTAGAGATAGTGGTTAGCGATTCTTAGTGGTTTTGCCGCTAAGAATCGGTGTTCAATAAACTTATTTATTTTGAAACTACTACAAATTGGATGTTTGATAAGATTTTTTATTTAGAAGTTTAGACCTAACGAATAGCGATTAAGGTCCAAACTGTTAACAGATTAAAAAAATCACATAAGGTAGCTTCTTGTATGAAACCGTTAGGAAATTGGAATTTTTTAATTATATTGACAAATTTATTCTTTTTAATTTTTTAATTTTTATAAGATTTTTAATCAGTATTTATTTAATCAATTTCAACTTTACTTTTGTCTTTAATAATATTAAGTAGTTATTATATTTTTTTTTCCATTAATTTATTATAAAAAAATATTAGCTTAATAAATAAAATTTATTAATTAGAGAAAAAGATTAAATTTTTTTGTATTTTATTTAAAACTAATATAATTTTTTCTTTATTAAAAATAAATTATTACACTATTATAATTTATTTATTATTATTTAAAAAATATAAAAATATATACTTAATTATTTTTAAATATATCCTTATCAGTTATTTAATTTCAAACAACAATTACTAATTATCATATAACTAAATAGCTATATTAATTGTTTTTACTATCTGTTTACACCTAAAAATAAACCAATAGAGTAAGGCCACATGTCAAGGTGAAGCCCAATTATCATGAAAAGTCAGCAGGCTGGATTTGGGTTGCGCTGGATTACAATTTAAGGGCTCAGACAGAATTTTAAAGAAGATGGATTTCAAGTGGTAGAGGATAAGATAACTTCTGGTATTTAAGTGTAATTTAAGTTAGGAAGTTGAGAACTTTTAAGAGGAAGTTATCTCTAGAGTTTTATTGGAGATAAAATTGATTAAAAACTGTCAACTGCCAGACAGCTACTAGACATGGAACCCCACTACTCGATCATGGTGGGAGAGGGCCAAGAAACATGAAGGAGGTTTCCTAGCATCGAAGAAAAGAAAAACAGAGAAGAAATCAGTTCGAGACGGCCTGCCCTACACACACACACACTACCTAGAGCATGTTTTTCAACTTTCAGACTGCTTTTTCCAAATTTCAGCAATAGTTTCCAGATTAGTTTACCAGACTTGTTCTTGGTCATAGCCTTAGGTTAGCTTTTTTCATCCTTGTTCATTTCTTTCGTCAAAGACTTCAATTTAAGTTAGTTTTTAAGCATTTGGAAGCAATTCAGCCTGCAAAACAGGTCTGCCCTGTGGATTTGGTTAGTTCCTCTTTCTTTTATGGATTCAGTTATGTTATTTGTTCATGTAAATAGGTTGAATGCCTTCTGCCTTTGTTCTTTTGTTTCTGCACAACAGCCAGACATGTAGTTTATTTAATTTCAATTTCTAGATTTAATTTTATAAGTTTCTAGACTTTAATTATTTCGTAGATTCTCTTTCAGTTTTAGTTATCAAGTAGTTTAACTATTTTTATTTTAAATCTACAAGTAATTAAGTTTAATTATTATGGATTGCATAGTAGAAATCATTGTCTGCGATTTTACATTTTCTACTATCTGCGAATTTTATTTTTATGGCATGTTGTTTCCTTTTATTGATCTCATATTAGATAAATTGCCTTAAGATTTTGTGTTAATTTAAGATTTGTAGCTTCTATTATGCTCTTGTGGTTGTAAAGTCCTTGGAGGTTTCCAAGGCAATTAGTAACCCATTTTGCATAACTCCACCCTCTGTTTTGCAACATCATCTGGGGCACAATTTATTGATGGAGTAGCCCGTCACAAAATTTTATCTTTCATGGATGGTCATAGTGGGTACAACCAAATTTTTATTGTAGACGCAGACGTTCCAAAGACAGCCTTTTGATGCCCAAGTGTTGTTGGAACTTTTGAGTGGGTTGTGGGTTGTGATGCCATTTGGTCTGAAGCATGCTAGAGCTACCTATCGAAGAGCCATGAATTCAATTTTTCATGATATGATTGGTAAATTCATGGAAATCTACATTGATGATATTGTGGTGAAGTCACATGAGGAAGAAGACCACCTGGTCCATTTGAGGAAGGCTTTTGGGTGGATGAGGCAACATGGCTTGAAAATGAACCCACTAAAGTGTGCCTTTGGAGTGTCTACAAGTAATTTCCTTGGATACTTAGTACATGAGCATGGTCTGGAGGTTGATAGGAACAAAGCCAAGCCAAGGCTGTGATTGAGGCAAAACCACCACAGAACAAGAAGGAGTTGCAAAGATTTCTTGACCAAGTTAATTTCTTAAGACGTTTCATTTCTAACTTGACTGAGAAAACCAAAGTCTTTTCTCCTCTATTGAAACTCAAGTTTGGGGTAGATTTTAAGTGGGAAGAACAAATCAGTCTACCTTTGATACGATAAAGCCGTACTTATTCAGACCACCAGTACTTGTACCACCGCAGACGAGTCCATAGGATGCTTGCTGACGCAGGAAAAGAATAAAAAAACAAGAGCAGGCTGTGTATTACTTGAGTCGATGTTTGACCCAAACCGAAGTGAAATATTCTTCGGTCGAAAAGTTGTGTCTTGCTCTCTTTTTTTCTGTAATAAAATTAAGACATTATTTGATTTATTCCGAGATCTATGTGGTTACTAAGACTGATATTGTCAAATATATGTTGTCTCGTCCTTTGTTAAGAGGCCGAATAGGTAAATGGATTCTAGCCTTGTCTAAATTTAATTTGAAATACATACCACAGAAGGTTGTCAAAGGGCAGGCACTAGTAGACTTTCTTGTAGATCATCTATGTCTGGAAGTGGAAGCAGATGAAGAAAAAGGGATTAACTTGATTTCAATAAGTTGAGTTCCTTGGAGACTTATTTTTTATGGATCTAGTACAAAAACCATGTCTAGAGCTAGGGTCGTGATAATCTCTCCGTTTGGGCTAAAAACACAGATGTTTTTTCAACTGAATTTCAATTGCACAAATAATCAAGCAAAATATGAAGTTTTGATTATTGGTCTTGAGATATTGGTGGAGCTTAAAGTATCCATGGTTGAGGTTATAGGGGACTCACAACTAGTCTTGAAGCAATTGTCTGGTGAGTACAAATGTACTAGCCTTGCTTTAACCCTTTATTTCGCCTTGGTTTTGCAATTATTGGAAGAATTTGATGATGTGCCTATTAGACACGTGCCTAGAGACCAGAATTATGAAGCTAATGAAATGGCCTAGATTGCTTCAGGTCTGCGGATTCCTAAAGGTGTAATGTAGAAAGTTGTAATAGTTGAAAAGCACAGTCTGCCATCAATTCATTAACGTGGCATGATAGTTTCTACTTGCAGCATTGATGTCACCCAGACAGACTGGCGCTTTCCAATTATTCAGTACCTTAAGGATCAGGGCACTAAGGTATCTAGGAAAACCAAAATGCAAGCTCTCAATTATGTCTTGATTAAGGATGTGCTTTATAGGAGAGGCCATGATGAACTACTGCTGCGTTGTCTAGGTCCAGATGAAAGTTTCCAGATGTTAGTTTCCAGATGTTGTCTAATGTCCATGATGGGATTTTTGGTGCACACCAAGCTAGAATCAAGATGCGTTGGCTAATTCGCAGACATGGTTTCTTCTGGCCATCTGTCTTGAAAGATTGTATTGCTTATGCCAAGGGTTGCAAATCTTGTCAGATCCATGGACCACTTCAAAGAGTTCCAGCCTCTGAACTCAATCCTATTGTGAAACCGTGGCCATTTCAAGGCTGGGCTATTGACTTGATTGGTAAAGTGTACCCTCCTTCATCAAAAGGTCATTCATTTATTATAGTGGCAATGGATTATTTTACCAAATGGGTGGAGGCTAAACCAATGAAGAAGGTAAATCAATCTGATGTAATCAAGTTCATCAAAGAGGACATTATTCATAGGTTTGGTCTACCAGAAACAATTACAACAGACCAAGGTACAATTTTTGTTAGCCATCAAGTGGAGGCATTTGCAAAGGAAGTAGGTTTCCGTCTGCTAAATTCTACTCCACATTATGCACAAGCTAATGGGCAAGCTGAGGCTTCTAACAAGGTGGTGATTAATTTACTTGAAAAAATGGTGGATGACAATCCCAGAAACTAGCATGAATTGTTGTTTAAAACACTGTGGGCTTATATAACTTCACAAATGAGTTCAACCAAAATGACACCTTTTGCTTTGACATATGGCCACGATGCAGTCTTGCCAATGGAGTTAACAGCTAGGTCTTTAAGAATTAGCGATTCAGCATAATCTCTAGTCTGGGGAATACGATAAGGCCATGATGCTTGAGCTTGAGGACCTTGAAGACACACGTTTGACAGCTTTGGATAGATTGCAAGCTCAAAAGCTCAAAATTGCAAAGTCTTTCAACAAGAGAGTGAAAGGTAAAAATCTGGCAGTTGGTGACTTGGTCTAGAAAGCAATTTTACCTCTTGGCAAGAAAGATCACAGATTTGGGAAGTGGTCCCCAAATTGGGAAGGACCATTCCGAATTCATGAAGTGTTGAGAGAGGGTGCTTATTGGCTAGAGTCACTTGATGGAGAGCTTCATCCTAGAAAAATCAATGGAATTTACCTCAAGCCTTATTACCCCACAGTTTGGGAGGCAAGAGGAATGGAGTCCCAAGAAGCTATCTGAGCCAGGTTCGCACTTCTTTTTGTGCATAATTAAATTGGGTTTCTTTCATTTATTTCATTTTGAATGAGAGAAAGTTTGATCAAGCGGCCATGACTGGCTGCGGATGGCTGGATGCCCTCAGACAGAGTTAGCTGTGAAAAAGTTGGGAATACTTGCTGCAATCATCTTGGGATTTAGCAGATTCTGCATGTGGCCTTTGGAGTTTGGAGTTTGGAGTTTGAAAGGTAATTTAAAATTTAAACACTTGGATTTATTCCCATAAAACCAAGTTTTAGGGGGCATTGTTTAAACCAAAAATAAACCAATGAGAGAAGGTCACGTGTCAAATTAAAGCCCAATTATTAAGAAAAGTTAACAAGTTGGGTTTGGACTAGCCTGGATTACAATTTAAAGGCCCAGACAAAATTTTAAAAAAGCTAGATTTCAAGTGCCAGAAGATAAAATAACTTCTGGTATTTGAGTTTGATTTAAGTTAAGAAGTTGAGAGTTTTTAGTATGAGGTTATCTTTAGGGTTTTATTAGAGATAAGATTGAGTAAAAACTGTCAACTGCCAGACAGCTACCAGACATGGAACCCCCACTACTCGATCATGGTGGGAGAGGGCCGAGAAGCATGGAAAAGGTTTCCCAGCACCGAAGAAAAGAAAAATAGGAGGAAAAGATCAATTATAGACGGCCTGCCTTACACATACACTGCCTAGAGCATGTTTTTCAACTTTCAGACTGCTTTTTCCAGATTTCAACAATAGTTTCCAGATTAGTTTACCAGATCTGTTTTTGTTTATAGCCTTAGGTTAGCTTTTTTCATCCTTACTCATATCTTTCATCAAAAACTTCAATTTAAGTTAGTTTTTAAGCATTTGGAAGCAATTCAGCCTACAAAGCAGGTCTGCCTTGTTGATTTAGTTAGTTCCTCTTTCTTTTATGGATTCAGTTATGTTATTTGTTCATGTAAATAGGTTGAATGCTTTCTGGCTTTATTCTTTTGTTTATGCACAACAGCCAGACATGCAGTTTATTAATTTCAATTTCCAAATTTAATTTTATAAGTTTCCAGACTTTAATTATTTCGTAAATTTTCTTTCAATTTTAGTTATCAAGTAGTTTAACCATTTTTATTTTAAATTTGCAATAATTAAGTTTAATTATTATGGATTGCATAGTAGAAAGGAAAGAAGAAGGGCCGTCTAAAAAATCCTATTTTCTTGTATGTAGACAAAGCAAGTGGCATGCCTAACAACCAAACTCACGTGGTAAAGGTCGGCTGAGGATTTTTGGAGAAACACTATCTATTATCTTTTACCCATTTTTCGCCATCCATCATCTGTTATCCGCCATCCACTATCCGCCATTCACTATCCGTTATTTACCATCTACTATCTGTTAATCGTTGTTGATGGCTAATTTTTTTTTAAAAAAAGGTCAAACTTGGACTCAGGCCTAACAATATCTGATGCTGTAATACATGGTTAAGCCTAGCGGTATCTAATGTTGTAATACATGGCTAGGCCCAACGATATTTAATGTTGTAATACATGGCTAAACCCAACGATATCTAATGCTGTAGTACATAGCTGAATCGCCATAAACATATAAGGAAGTCTGTTTCCTTTATTATCTCCTTATTTATTAAATTTTATCATTTTCATCAACTGATCACTATTCCTTTATGCAGGTCATCAATAAACCCATGAATCCAAACTCATGGGAATATTCAAGATAAACTATGGGAGTAATGGCTTGGCAAGCATAGATGGGTGAATGTTGCTTGTTTGATGAAGCAAGGTAGCTTGGCGCTGGCGATGTTGCCCGACTTCGCCAAAAAGGGCTAGGTGGCAAAGATGTGGACGCTGAGCTTGGTTACAAAACTATACTATTTGATGCTAACTAGAAGCTTGGAATCTCGTTCAAAACCAACTAAAGAGATTGTTTTGGTCACCACCAACAATTTGCAACCATATTTAATGCAAAGGTGGCTGCACAGTGTTGAAAATTACTGAAAAGGGTGGTTGCACAAGTTGGAAACTATTGAAAAAAATCTAACTTTGTTGGGAAAATCTACCAAAATCTTGGACAAACGTTGGGAATCTTCCAATATCTCGACCAACCCTTGGAAATTTACCAAAAATCTTGGCTAGATATGATTTTGCACTCAATTATCTCCCTAAAAATGGTATTTCGTATGGTTTGAGGAATTCACAGAAATAAGCAGTTTCTAGTCCATCGCTAGAACCAGCAAAGCTTCACCAAAACCACTGGGCAATTCATGATGCCATCACCAGAGAGTTGTCAACCAAGTCCAAATTCATCCAAAACGTAACAGCTCACCCAAGCCCACTTGTACACCTTTGACCCATCAACCAAAAATTACAAAAATGCCACTGGCCATATATATATTATCCTTCCTTCATTTTTCAACACGGAGATACACAGAAGAGAGACATACAACAGACCAAATTTTCCACTTCCACTTTCTTCCTCACATACCAAACTTCTATTTTCCCTCTGAAAACTTCTTCATCTTCAACCTCTCACCTTATACACCAAAATACCCATAAATCACCATTTTTACTACATTTTCTACACTTCCAACACTGCAGAATATTTTCCAGACTTGTAGAACATCATGGTTAGGAGACAGCATGTTACAGCTTCAATTTCTGAGTTATTTTCTTGAGCATCAGAGGATCAAGCTGAAGAGTTAGCATAAAAAATGGGATCAAGCCCTTCATTCACAAGCCCCCATAATGGTCACCCTTTCTTCTCCCATCACTACTTTCAAGTTTATTTTCTATCCTTGTTGCTCCTACAACAATGTACATTTCATTTTCATTATTTTTGATAGTTGTGAAATCATTCTTGTTATCTTGGGAGCACTATCATCACTCCACTCTTTCTAGCTTGGCTGGGGACATTCTATTTCCGATCTTTGTTGGGGAAGCTCTAGTTTCGAACTTCATTGGAGAAACTCTAGCTCCTAGCTTGGCTAGGGACGTACTATTTTTGAACTTCACCAGAGACTCTACTTTTGGACTTCGCTAGAGAAACTGTATCTCCGAGCTTGGTTGGAGATATACTATTTTCAAACTTCGCTAAAGAGACTCTACTCCCAGTCTTCGCTAGAGAAACTCAACTTCCAGACTTTGTTGGGGAATTTACTGCCGACCAACATCGCTAAACATCTTAGAACTCTATCGTCGCTGCCAGCTTTCCCTCTCAGCTTGGCTAGAAAACTTACACCTTCAAATTTTGTTGGGGAATTTACTGTTGATCAACATCGTTGAGCAGAACGAGATGGCCCGTGACACGTAGCCTCTTACACGTGAAACAGGTGCTGCCAAAAGGACCCTCCTCATCATTCGTGGATGGCATCCTAGTTAGCCTCCACATCATCGTTGCTGTTGACTCATCAACCTACTTCACCAACACACCCCCAAATAATCGTTACCTGCTATTTGCTACCAGTATTCACTATCTGTTATCTACTATCTGTTATATACTATTTGCTATTCGCTAAGTTTTTACAGTTATACCGAACAGACCCTAAAAAAGAAAATAATTTTTAAAGTTATTAGACCATTTTTAAAGAAGATAAACTTTCTATACTAATGTGAAAAAATGCTTATAGTTAATAAATGAATAATTTTTTTTTTGTTTATAAGAATAAATGAATTTAGAACATAGTTGGTAAAACAATTAAATTTCACTGCATAATAAATAATAAGTAGTGGGTAACGAATAACGACAATAGGCAGTGGGTGTTAGTTAACTACCAACAGATGGTAAATAGCGAAAAGTGAATAGCGAAAAGTGGATAGTAAATAATAGATAGTAAATTCGATTAATATAATTGTTTAGTTATACAATAGTTAGTAATTGTTATTTAAAATTAAATTATTGATAAAAACATATTTAAGAATAATTAAGTGTATTCTTTTCTTTTTATATTTTTTGTTATTAAAATTATTAATTTTATAAAAATAACAATAATAAAATAAATAAATAATAATAATAATATAGTCATATACTAATTTTTATTTTTAATAAAGAAAAAATTATATTAGTTTTAAATAAAGTATAAAAAAATTTTAATCTTTTCATCTACTTAGTAAATTTTATTTATTAAGTCAATATTTTTTATGGTAAATTAATGTTAAAATAAAAATATAATATTTATTTAATATTATTAAAGATAAAATAAAACTAAAACTAATTAGATAAGTAGTACTTAAAAATTTTGGTACGAAATTAAAAAATTAAAAAATATATATAAATTTATCAATAAAATTAAAATTTTCTAAATATTTTATCAAACATCTTATTCATAATTTACCAGATACCTTAAACGCTGTCGTTTTCCCCTGCAGAGCAAAAGCAGTGGCTCAAAACACCTGCTCATGGCTGTAGGGTTTGGAAAGTCGACGATTGGCTGATTGCTGTTCCAGCTTTGGAGTTGGATCGAAGAAATCAAATAATCAGGTTTGGTGAGGTCATTTATTCTTTAATTTCATATTTTTCAGTTTTTTCCTTAGGCAGTTAGCATGAACTACTGTGAACCAGAAAATGAATTGAATAGGAAGATTTGTTGAGATATTAGACTTATTTAATCAAACTAATTTCTTCTCGTGATGCTTTCCATCTGGATGTTTAATTCTCTTTCTTCCTGTGTCATATCAGCATCCCAATGATTGGGAAACTTGTTTCTACTCTCTGTAGAAAATATACTTCAATCAAATTCAAAAAATGCACAATTTTTCTTGGCATCAGAGGAGAACAAAAATTCTACTCCAATTCAATGGCCAATCAAAACACCACCTCTTCCACTGCCAAAAACTACAACAACCTATACCATCTTCATTAGCTGTTCTGGCATGTTGGTCGGGCTTCTTTTTGGCACTGCAAGTTTTTCCATCTATGAAGTATAATGTCTCGTGTTCTACTCTTTTTTTCTTTTTCTTTTTTTTTTTTTTCTATCTCTGTATTTTTATGGTGATCATAAATTTGTATTGGGTGTTAGGTTCTGGATTTTCAGCAATGAAGGTTTCTAGTAATGGTGAGAGTGTTGTTTTGTGTGTTTTGTGGATTTAGTGGGTTTAGGTAGCGATGCTTCTTTGAGAAGATCTTCTCAAAAGGGGAGCTTGTAGAGGGTGATAAAATGAGGCAAAAAGGGAATGACCAAGTACATAGAGAGAAAAGGAGGAAAAGCAAAATATGACATTGGTTAGTAAGTAATAGTATTTTTGATTTTGTCATTGCTGGAATGAGTCTTGGAATTAAGTTTGGGTTAAAGAAACTTGGGGATGTATTGGTTTGTAGTTTAGTGGATAAATTAGTTATTATCTAATTTTAGATTTGTTTCTTACAATGTTAGGTTTGCTACATCCAAACAAGTTTTTTAATTTTTATTATTTTTTTCTTTTTGAATCTTTCCTTATTTTGTGGTCTATTTCTCATCTCTTACATAAGCTGCTGCTCATTTCAGTTATGTTGGAATGTCTGTTAGAGTTCTACATTGACAGTACTATGTAGGAGTTGATATAAAGTCCGTTAGCAGAAAAACCATTACAGATCCTATACCTCGGCTTGTTTATATTCCTTTTTTTGCTCTACTTTCTTTAGCAGGAGATGTCATTGTGGGAGTATCTCTGGGGTAAAGTTGGAACTCAGTTTTCAATATTGAAGCTTGGCATTGCATCTTTTGCAGGTTTAAAGTAAAATTGCAAAGAATTTCTTCATTATCCTTCACTGAAATTGAGATTGCTCCAACTACCTGCATCAATAGCTTGTGTGGGATATAGAAATTGATTTGTGCTATTTAACAAAATGACAGAAATCTTCAGTCATGCAGCAACACAGTTATCTGAGATGGTCTTGGCAATAATCTTCTTTCACAGTTCAGAATATGCATTAGCAATTGCTATACATGGGAGATCAAATGTCACTCTTACCTCACTTCTCATCAGCAAACACTATGTTTTGGCAATGATCTTCTCGTTACTTGAGTATTTCTTTGAAATCATTCTATTTCCTTGGTTGAAAGAATTCTGGTGGATAAGCAACTTTGGGCTTGCAATGGTTGTAATAGGAGAAGTTATTAGGAAACTGGCTATTATAACGGCTGGTCGTGCCTTTACACACCTTATCAAGATTCACCATGAGGAGCATCACAAACTAGTTACTCATGGAGTGTATAGATTTGTTCGTCATCCAGGATATTGTGGCTTCTTAATTTGGGCAGTTGGCATTCAGATAATGCTATGCAACCCCATGTCTACGGTAGCATTTGCAATTATTGTTTGGCGCTTCTTTGCAGAACGAATACTTTATGAGGAATATTTCTTAAGGCACTTTTTTGGATCAAATTACGATGACTATGTTCGACGAGTGCCTTCTGGGGTGCCATTTGTGAAATGAAGAGTAATTCATTTTGTCGGTATGGCTGGCTTTCTCTTCCCATAAACTTTTCGATGAGCGTGTAATTGGAACTTCTAGACAAGTAAGATGATTTCTGTTTTGCAGCCTAGTACTTTTTTCCAGTTGTAAATTTCTGGACTTAATTTAATTATGTAAATTGGCAATGGAATCCCAGATGACAAAAGCTTCCTACTAGTTTCCCATCTGCATGTGAAATTGCCAAATTGTTCCATGAGATGTTCAATGATATGCAGTTGGACCATGCTTTCCAGCCATGTTTATTGTGTTTTTCTTCATCCATCTCAGGACCATTTGTTGATCCTATCGTGTTTGCTTGGAGCAAAAACGAAAATGAGTATGTTTCCATTCCATAGAACCCATTTGTACCAGCAATTTCCACCCGAACTAATTTAAACCAATTAAAAAAATTTTTGCAATCAGCTCTGATTTTGGGTCAATGCAAATCTCAATACTTCTCCTATAGCTAGCCATTAGTAGAATACAGTATACCTTTCCCACTAGTCTTCTACTCTGGACAGAAGATCACAGCGTATAAAAAAAGGGTTAACAACTTATCAGAAGGCACCAGCAAGAAGACCCTAAGGACTCGATAAAGACCATAAAGCATTCGCTTCATCATTGTGAATTCCCAATGATGTAGAGTACCAAAATGCCACTTAAAAAATGGGATTAGTCTTCCGAGGCGCAATTTGCTCATTGTAATATTCCATTCGCCATTATGAATACAAAACCTCTAGAGGTGGAAACCGACAAACTGATCGCTTGTTTTTTACACTGATACATTAGAGGCTGCTGCTTCTTCAGTGAAGAATGGAAGAGGTTTGGTTGGAGCAGGCAGGCGGCCAATGCTATCAACTTTATCCTTCAGTTTGGGAGGTGGTCTAGCTGCTCTTGGCAGTAACCTTCTCTTCTTTGCAAACCACTCAGGCTTGAGCAATGCCCGAATGCCTAGCTTGTTGTAATACACTCTTCGGACGGACCCCCCTGCTGCCTCAGTAGCTGCTTTTGCTCTAATTGTCACCCTTGAGACCTGCAACATATTCACCAATCAAACCACCATATTTATGTCCAGACTCCAGATGCAAAGGTAACAGAATGCAAGTTTAGGATTCACACCAAGGTTGGGAATCACTGCTTGGTAACTAGAATCTCACTCAATTCAATGTAACAAAACATCGTGGACATGACATTTTCAGATGAATAATTAGAAAAAAGAGTGAAAAAATAATAACCACTTGAAAAGGTAGAAGTCATTGATAAAGTTCATCCATAGGAAGCCGTATATTTGTTTAATTAATACATAACCCTCTCTCAGACTACTGAAATCTGAAATTCTAAAATCATAAACCTAAAAGAAAACTTCAAACTAATAATGACCCCATAGCATATGACATTATTTCTAAACTCAAAAAAAGAGGATAGTAGATTATCATCAAACAAAAACAATTGCACCATGATGGATGCCTTTTTATTATTCAGTGCAATAAATAAATTTTGAAGAGTCAAAGATGAAGCATAAATACACTTGTCAATCTCATAGCTGAATTCAATATAGCTTTATTTATCAACTTTTCTAGGCGCAATTTACCTCCATGTTAATTGGCCATTTGATTTGGTCAGCACCGCGTCCCATCAACCTTACACCGTCTTTTATCTGCTTCCCTACAGCCCCAACATCCTATTATAACAGTAACAAAGTCAACCCCTGTCAATTAATGGGATAATTTAAATGGGATATTGAGAGTAGCAGGGGAACAGCTACCGTACCTTGAGAGTTTTCATTGTGATCAATTCATGAGAATCTATTTTTCCAGCATTAATAAGTTTGGCAATATTCCCCAACCCAACTGGCTGTCAGAAAGAAACTATACAGTCGTTTAACATATAAAGGTAATTCCATAATTAAAAAAATAAAAATAACAAAACTGCCTGGAAAGAAAATATAAAAAACCAAGGCATAAGTTAATATTCTAACTGAAGAAGGAAATAATATAAACTTCTAAAATTTTCTTCCGGTCATCAGTAACTGAAAACATCCAGCTAAAAACGGATCAAACATCCTGGAATGAGATGCAACATCACAAGCTTCTCATTCTGATAAAGCAGCTTCACATCATTCCCTTATGTTTGCCTGGAATATTAATCATAGTTGCATATGTTCAATAATACACAATCCATAGGTCATCTGAATGCGGGAATGAGGTTAAAAGCATTTAGACACAAACTTGACACTCATTCAACGAAAAACAAAAAAGAAAGAAGTAGCCATTTTCATTCAATACCCTTTATTTATTTATTTACCTTTTCTGATAAACCAAACACAGTAGTAATTAGAATATGTAATCAAGCAAACAGCAGGGCTGAAATTGTCTTCAGGAAGAATTGAAGAAAGCATAAAACAATCTCAGCACTTGAAATCCCCGAGGGTACCTGAAAAGTGAGGCTGAACGGATTCTTGAAGCCCCGCTTAGGCGAACGGCGGCGCATAGGGGTTTGCCCACCTTCAAACCCCAACCTGACACCTTTTCTCGCCCTCTGTCCCTTATTGCCTCTTCCTGCAGTCTTCCCCATGCTGGACCCAATCCCTCTGCCCTTCCTCGTTTTCTGCTTTCTGGGAACATTGTCTCTTAGATCGTTTAAGCTCAAAAGACTGTATGCCCTAATCCCTTGAAGCCACAAGGGGCCATTATTGTTAATGCTGCCGGGACTGTGGAAGTAAGTGAAGGAACGGAATTGGAAGAGTGGTGAGGGGTTGGGAATGGGCTTGGTGTTAAGGAGGAATGAAGATGTTGAGAGCAACGAAGAGAGTCTGCTTCTTATCATTGTTGATCCTTTGAATGTTTCAGGAGGATTTGTTGCTCATTTCAATTAGGATCTGGGGATTTTGGGAATTTCAGTGATCATTGTCCAGAGCAAGGGGTGAACATATTCGGGCACAGGTGAGTTATATCTGGTACTAAACACTTTGTTTGGGTAAAAAAAGGTAAAGGGTAGGGAAGCAAGGATAGATAAAATGAAATAGACAGGAACGAAAGGGAGGGAAAGGAAACAAAGGGAGAGAAGAGAATAGAAAGAAATGATTTACGTTAATTTTGTTTAGATAAATAAAAATAAAACGAGAAAAGAAAGAGGAAAACTGTATTATTTTGTATTTAGATAATTAATATAAAAGGAAGAAAAATATTTAAATAATTTTAAATTTATAAATTTACCTCTTTAATTTAACATTCAATAATTGTTGTTAGTTTTTGAATTTTAAGACAAATATAACAACAATTCTAAAAAAATTAAAATTCTACTCTGCAGAACTCATTGAAGAAAATATATATAGATGTAGAAAGCTATAAAAAGGAACATGGATCCATGGTAAAAAAATTGTTTGTTGGAAAAACAATTCAAATAAAAATAGAAAATGGTCGTTTTCCGTAGCAAAGAACTCGAAAGTGGAGCAACTTAATGCTTTCATGCCTTTAAAATAATTTTGGGTTTAAACATTTCAAGCTACTTTGTCTCAACTCTCAAATAGGAATGACATGGGCTCATAACTCATGTTATTTTTATGGACAATTGATTTGTGCCAAGCATTAACACCTTATCCTTGAGGATGCATGGTTCTCATGTCAGTCTTGCTTGATTTGTTGATACAACAGTTCAAATGTGCAGAATTCTTGTAAGGATGGCAATGGCGCCTTCTTAAACACCAAATGCTCAAAATTTAACAAAGAAATAATAAATGAAGCAATAAGCAAACAATGAATCCGAAAATACAGAGCAAATGATTTTATTACAATATAGTCTTAATGATGCCAATAAATAATAAAATAAAATAACTAATAAAAATCAAACCCCAAAATTTTATTCAAACATGAATTCCAATTGATGCCAAAGCAAATTAGTCAAATTTAAAAAATAAAGCTAATTATAGCACTCAAGAGCTTGATGATTAAGAAGTACCAAAAACAACCCTCGTAACAATATCCAACCGTCTCCTAGGTGGACATCCTAATACTGCTGTTAATTTATCTAGATGCTCCAGTAGATATAAATAAGTAAAGGTAATTTGACTTGAGTTAAGTCCCAAATCCTTCAATATATTCCAAACTTAAACCTCTAAAAGTGAAGGACATGAATTCCCTTCAGATAAAGCTCGAGCTATATTATTGATAGCTTCTTGAATGCCCATTGTTTCATTGTCAATTTTTTGTGACTTCTTTATTTTTTTGGATTTTGAGCTAGTTGGCACATTTGAAGGACCCCCAAGACATGTTAAAGGATCAAAATCAGTATGATTAGTTCCAAAACCATCCAAAGATACCTGATTTTGTGATACCATATGATCAATTTCCTCAATGGTATCGTGAGACTCATTATCATGTTGGAATAATTGCTTTTTCTTTAAATCTTTTGCGGTCTCTGATTTTTCACCTATAACTCGATCATTTCCAAATAAGATCACAAATGTGTCATAGTGCAACACTGGTTTTGTCATCCACTCTTTAGCATCCTTATTTACCCACAAAACATCAACATTTTAAAATAAAAGTAATTAATTTAGGTCAAGCAAAATCTTAGTAAGGAAATTTAAATTAAAAGTCTACCTTTATTAATGCATCCCAAACTTCAAGCTCGGCACTCCATAGCTTGGTAACAGGGCACCCTGAAAAACCACTAAGGTTTTTGAATAAATCATGAGATTTTGAAAAGTTTGCCTTTAAAGTTTTCATTCAATTTTTAACATTATCTTTGTCAACATCCTTTCCCAAGTTTTTCTTTCAATTCATTAACAATATTTTCATATGCTTTGGTGGTGAAGGAACCATTTACCCTATTGCCCAAATTATGTTGATGTAAGAAAGCATCCATAAGAGCATCATCCATTATAGGTGTCCATACTAATTTGCCTTCTTCACTTGCATTTTCAATATTACTATTTTTCTTTTTCCAAGCCAAACCTAAATAAAAAAAGTTATTAAATAACTTTATTCAATTAAAATTTATTACAAAGAAAATTTATTATTTATAACATTAAAAAAAATAAAATAAATAATTCAAGAACAAAGAAATTAACTCAAGTCAAAGGAACAAACAAAAAAATTACAAAAAAGGAAAATCTAACTATCCATAAAGTAAACTAATGACATCTCTTAGCATTTCCCCCCTGGTGGCATCTTCTTCTTCCTCTCTAGAAGTATGAGTTTTTTGGGAATTATCTTGATTTCTCAATTCCAAATCTACCTCAGCTATAAGATCTTCATCAAGATCCACACCCATTAAAAAATTGTGAATAATGCAACAAGCTAAAATAATTAAATTTTGAGTTTCACTCCATAAAATGGTTCGATTCTACCCCTTAAAATCTCAAATCTTTTTTTCAAAACACCAAATGCTCTTTCAATAGCATTATGTGGGGATGCATGCCTAAGACTAAATAATTCTTTAGTATTTTAAGGAGGATTATTTGAGTATTCTTTGATATGGTAACCAACTCCTCTATAAGGAGTTATAAGGCTACTTTTTAGCATAAACCCAGTATCAACAAGGTAAAATTTTCCCTTTGGAATTATTAGCATATCTTCTCTTTTTAATGCATCCTTAATAATTCTAGAATCTAAGGTAGTCCCTTCCTATCTTGTTAACACATAAGTGAACTTTAAGTCAAATGTACAGGCAACTAAGACATTTTAGGCTGGATACTCTTTTCTACCACGATATTTAAGGGCATCTAAGGGTGAGACTTTTACATCAATGTGTGTTCCACGTGCAATCCTTAAAGTATGGGTAGAATCTACTACTTGACATTATCTCCATAAGAATTTGTGAACCATCTAGTTGTTTAATAAATTTTTCTTCAACTGCTATTATAGCTTTCAACACACTATAAAAATGTCGGCTAGTAGTTTCTCTAGAACGTCGAAACCAAAACTGGACTAAACGGTTTTTAACATTCTTAGCTAGAATATAAAGAGTTTTAGCTACTTGTTCCTCAATAGTTGCTCTCCTTGTGGGTTGGAGACCTCCCTCCCTTTCTACTATGTCATAGAATTGTAGAAAAGCTCTAAGGCCCATTCCTATGATATGACAGCTTCTATCACTACCCACAATTTTGTTCATTATCTCATCTTGAACTCATTCTGTCATTAATTGTATTATCATCAAAAAGCTTTCTTTTTGGTCGACTTCAAAGAAATTGCCAATATACAACTAAGCATATTACATGAGCAATGGCCCTTCTACACATGTCTCTCAAGGCATCCATCTATATTTACAAAATACAAATTAAAATTCTTATAACTAAGAAACGAAAGATTAATCAAAGTCTAGCAATGTACAAATATAAACTAACAATTTTTAAATTAGAATTACCTTGATCAATACTTGAAAGCCAACAAACCAAACCTCTATCTCAGCTTTGTCCTTGCAAATCTAACTGTAACCAAGCAAGAGAACAATAACTCACTTAACACACAAGCAACATGGTAAAATATAACCAAGCAAGAGAACACAATCCAACTTAAAATACCTTTTGGAAAAAGCAACTTAAGAAACAATTAAAACTGGTTGCAAAGCAACAAAACCAAAACAAAAGCTAGTAAATAGATTTTGATAAAAGAAATAAACCATAGAGGTAAAGATGCAGCTTTGGTGCTCCGGGCAGTTGCTTCAGTGGCCAGGTGCAAAATTTAAATTCTGCTCCGGCTAGTTAATAAAACCTTAAAAGTTAGTGGTGATCTCGCTACTAATTTGCAGGGTAGAGGTTATTGCCTTGGGTCCATAGTGGTGATCTCACATCTAATTTGCATGGTAGAGGTTCAAGGTCAAGGAAATATCTAAACCAAATTATGAGTATGGCAGCTTTCCCTTATTCTTCTCTCCTTTTTTTTTTTTTTTTGGCTAGAATTGTCAACGAGAGTAGTTATGATCAGAAGATGGTTTCAAATCGATGCTTGGCTTTCATTTGCAATGAATGCAGCCAAGCTCAAAAAGACAATGCTTAACATGTCTAAGTGACATGTTTCTTTATTTACTTTATAGCTTTTGGTTCATGACTAGATGTTAGCATCATTATAAATGATAATACACATTTGAGCTCATAGCACATACAACATGAAACTAGGTACAAAAGCACGACACTAATTGAACTCTATTCATGCTACTGAACTCTCATTAAATTCACATTCATTTCAAACATACAAAAGCATTAAAGATACAGGAACATAAAAGCGTAAGTTCAGTAGGCATGGATAGCGTAGAGGTTAAGATTATGTCTTAGAAATTCAATAAGGCCAAAGAGAGATCTAAAGATCTACCCTTCACAATATGAAAGCAACAGACCTCAAATAGCAATTTCTTGAAACATTCATCCAATGGCATAAAAAGTAGGAACCTGAAATAATATCCAATCAAGTCTTTAGATTTAAATAACAAACATAGGTAGATGATGCATTACAGTCACATAGTACTACTAAAGCAATGATAAATCAAACACATGAGAAACAAGTACCATAGACATCATAAAACCAAAGCCACAAAATAGACATACAAAATAAAAGCTGGTAATTATTATGTATGTTTTAATATAAAATATGTCCAAATTTTAGATGTTGGCATAATTATTTTATATGGGCTGAAAGATACTCATCAAGCAAAAATGGCCACAACAACTAACAACCCTATATTGGCCTACCATAAAAACAAGGAGAATAGTTATAACATAGTAGTTTTATTAGATTAGCCAATAATAACACATAAGGACTAGGAGAGTGCGGCTCCATTAATCACATCCAATTTATAAGCTATTTATGGAGATAAAACAATATGCAACCCAACAAGGGCTTGATATCCTAAGTATGACAATTGTTCTACCCTATTCATGCTATTGAACTCTCGTTAATTTAGCACGACACTAAGCACCTCAAGTTGTAACATGTCTATAATGAATGTGAATTTATCTTGCTTTTTGACCTCCCAAAAAGAGATGAACTAGCAGCT